CACCTGGCCACAGCTAACAATCCCCCCGGGGAGGGAGGATCGCGAAACTCACTGAGCGGAGATAACGATTTGAGCGTCCCAGGTGGGGGGTGGGGGTGGGAAGGCCCCGGGAGAGCGATGCTGAGCCAGGAGAGAGCACCGAAACTGAAAGTGGAGCGAAGGCAAAAGAGAGCACTCTTCCGGGTGTTCTTACCTATATACTGGGCATGACGCGCATGATATGGAATAAAACATTGGTCAGTCTGGTTCTCAATCTTAACCTAAGAGCAAACCCCAGGCTAGCAGCTGGACTGTGTCTCTTTGCTTGTCTGCTGACCTTGGCAGCAGAACAACATATCGTTTTTATCAGCTACTGTCCTGTGCCTAAATTCAAAACACAGCCTCTTGCTAGCTATTTATGAAGAAGAAGGAGAAAAAAAAACCTAACAGAGTTAACTTTAAGCAGTCTGTGCTTAATCCATGACACCAAGTGAGACTGATTGTATTGCAGGTGTAGTACTTGCATCTTCAGTTGACAAAAGTTAATTAAATTAAATAAATTCCAAGGACTGAGCAAGACATCCCTAGAAAAAATGGTCAGATGATGAGGACTGAGGGCTGCCGGGGACTGTGCACACTTTGAAATGTCTTGTCACATACCCTCAGCACAAATACTAATTACTTCAAATTATCAGATCCTTGTAATAAAGGCTGTGAAGGTAGGTTGGAAAGTGAGCTGAAGAACAGCAGGGTTTTACCAGGATGATGGTGTGCCAGGCTGACTTGTGCTTTCTTTTAAGAAAAGGCTTTTCTACTTTTTCCGTTATATGCATTTTAGAAGGGACTTGTGAAGGTGCAAGCTGGGAAATAATCACCGCAGTCGGAGAAAATGAACATTGTGTGAGAATGGTGTGGGCCAGGTGAAGAGTAGAGTCAAGACCCTGAATTTTAGGAGAGTGAACTTTCAGTTGATTCAGTGGTTAGTGGATGGGACCCCCTGGAATCCCCTGGGGATAAAGGAGCAGAACGGGGCTGGCAGCTCTATAAGAACATTTTTCTTAGCATGCAAGAGCTCTTGATTCCCAGATGTAAGAAATCAAGCAAGGAAGGCAGCACACAGCATGGCTCAGTAGGGCCTCCTGGTGAAATTAAAGTGTGAGAAGGAAACACACGGAGCAGAACCAGGGACATCCCAGGAAGAATATAGGGATACTGCCTGGGTGTGTAGGGATGGGATCAGGAGAGCTAAGGCACAGTGGTAGCTGACTGTGGAAAGGGATGCGAAGAAGAATAAGGAGGGTGTCTAAAGGTGCATTGGTCAGGAAAGGAAGGTTAGAGAAAAAGTACACAGCCTGGAGCGGGGCCAGAGGAGCCATGGAGATGGTGCGAGGCTGGAGCAGCTCCCGTGCGAGGACAGGCTGAGAGAGTTGGGGTGTGCAGCCCGGAGAAGAGAAGGCTCCGGGGGAACCATCCAGGAACTCCACGTGCTGAAAGGCG